AGCAGCAAAAACCAATCTAGCCTTTCTCCTTTGCGTGATCGAAAATCCAATGGATACCCCAATCGTTTCATCATCCATTCTTCATGCAAGAGGAGCACCAACCTCACAGCTCCTAATCGGATGGTTCTTTCCTGCGTTCGCAAAGCCGCTGATTCCTTGTCGATGCCATTTGCACTCAACACAAACGAGGACGCGAGGGTACATGCCGACATTCAGCCCTGTCACATGTGCTGAGCACCGCATACAAAACTCACATGTAACTTTAAAAAAATTGTATAACAACAGAATGAAATGCAAATATCAGCAACAGAAAGCAAGATAAATAAACTCTCGGGCGATTTACCACGGAGATTTGCGAATATCGGTCAGGCACATAGTAGGAGACGCACAAACACCCAAGCATTGCTTGCCATCAGGAAGATTTCAGTTCTAGATGAGTGCAGAGAGACATCGAAATTTTCTCTACAACTTCCTTTGCTTTTTTTGCGTGAGGACGACCTTCACATCTTTCTGCCAGCATCTTCCTAATAAGTTGCAGCTGAAAGTTCGAAGTGTGAATGATATATGAGCTGTTACAATGCAGAAAAGCTTAGAATAAAGAACTTCACAAAATGAGTCAGTTCCATATACCAACCTCAGGTTTAGGGATATCCTTCAACTCTGGTGGGAATTTCATGAGTCGAGCGTCCCTAAATGTCTTGATCTTCTCCATGTCGGTTTTAAAGGGAATTATCATCTCAAGGTATATGAGTCCAAGAGAATATATGTCGCAGTGGAAGCCAAGGTTGGTGTTCTGCAACTAATTGTAGAGAAATAACAAAAACGGATTGCTGGATTACACAGAAGTAGAAGCACACTCATTCCAAAAACCAAAGATACATTGCAAACAGGTATGAGCCCCCTGACGGAAAAGTACGAATGGATCAAGCCCAATATATGAAACTGTACAGGCCTTCCTAAGGGCATATATGGCATGTAGTGCTAGCAATTTCTTCCCCGATTGCATATATCAGAGGCTGATAGATGCATTATCTATCAGCCCCAAAGAAAATCATTCTAAGCTATACAAAAATCATCCCCAGAACAATGTCTAGGCCAAATATCATCATACCTTTTCCCGAATCTTCATTAAATTTTATTGAACCTGGATAAACCACCAATGGCTTCAGTCAATCTTACTTAACTTTTGGCATCCATGCGTAAATCAGTATATACAGGGTGGGCCAAAAAAAGCCATCATTTTTGGTGAGTTATCAATCTAAATGTAGGCAGCCAATTCTAAGGAAATTCAGTAGGCACATAGGGTGACTCAATTCGGGTTTGTGTGCTGAGTTTCAAATTAAAATTCCAAAATCTGCGAGATTGGCATTGAATTTACTTTAAATCACCAAAAAAAGTCAGTTTTCATTTTTTCTTTCAACTTAAAATTTCTCACAACTGACACAAAACAGGCAAAGAACAAAAAACAATCCACCAATGCCAAAAACCAAAGCACACAAATTATTTAGGTTGTAGGCAGCTCCAACGTATTTTAATGTTAAAGTTCCCACGAGCAGATCGCCAGTGTGTTCAAGTTTTATGACACCGTAGACTCCTCGTCAGTAATACAATGAATTTATTGCAATAACTTACTGACAGTTACTGACAACTACTGACAATTTAATGACAACCAGTATTGGGAGAGATGATAGTGAAAAAAATCAGAAACGGGATGTAAAGTCAAGAATGACTTCTCTTATGTTAGATGGATATTGGAGAAAGGATACTAGGAAAGCAATATCTGAATGAATATTAGAGTAGGGTGGGGAAGGACGACAGACAGCATACGATCTCCAATGATACTCTTCACTCGATATCCCGCGTCTTCCTAGGATGCTCCATTATACTGTCACTCCAACTAACTCTCGACTCTCGATCCGGTTACTCCGCCTTTCTCACTCGCGCGGTATTTTATAATCTCTTGCTTCAAGACATGCGTTCATATACCTGGTACATCTGTCCAACCCAACTAGCAAGGTGATCCGTAATAGGTACCTCCTACGGGTTGGTATCAAATAATCGAAACTCATGTCGACGAATGGAAATTTTGTCAAAGGCAGTTAAGCGAACGAGACCATACATCGAAGGATTCATCCATATAAGTGTCTAGAGATCGAAAGGTTTAGGTCACCGAAGGCTTAGAAAGCTGAAACAAATATTGGTTTTATTTTCTTAGTTTTGGCCAATAATCAATTAATTTGATTTATGTGCCAAGTCAGTTGTGCCCTAGCTATGGTCTATTCACAACACGACGTGCGTTGCACATTTGAACCATGTTAGAAATAATCAAGTCTCCACAAGGGCAGGATAATACTGCGATAGATACTTTTTCCAGTGGAACAAGGTGAGGCGCTGAAAAATCATTGAGCCTTATAAAGTGAAAGCGAGCTTGTGCTATGGTCGCGCCTTCAGCGCTCCATTGTCCATGTTAATGATTCATTCTTTTTTTTCAAATTGGCAAAAACGTATAAAAAGTATGTGCTTCTCGAAAAGTGTGCCGAGAGAGAACGAACCAATATTTCCGTCGAAATAATTCCATTGTTTCTCATGTGCCTGACTTCAAATCTCTTCAGTCTGTCCTGAGGGGTCTTACTTGAAAAATAAGATATGCACTTAGCAATCGAACAGATACTTCTGCTCCAAGTTTTAACTTTCTTTAGTTCTCTCATAAATTGAATCAGAAAAGTTTCCAAAAAATGTACCTTCAGCAAAAAATATACCCTCAGGGGTTTTACCTACAAATTAACATTTTTACTGAAATCCGTACTTGGAGAACAACGTGCATGCCAAGTTTCATCCTTATCCGTTTGCTCCTTCTGCTAGTGCAAAAATATATTTGGAAAAGCCAACAAAGCCAAAAGCTGTGCCTTGGGGGTTTGGACCACAAAACTGGAATTTTTTTCCTGAACTCACCATCACCCCATTATTGCTGTGCCAAGTTTCATATTTCTATCTTTGTACAATTCAATGGACAAAAAAAAATTATTTGTAAACATCTCCCAAAAATATGCCCCCCAGGGGCATGTATTCAAAACTTGACATTTTTCTTAAGCTCAGTCTCAGCAGGTACGTCCATGTCATGTTTCAGCTTTCCATGTCTATCCGTTTGAATGAAGCAAAAAAAAAATTTTGAAAACATCTTTCCCAAAATGTGTGCCTCTAGGGCATTTGCCTCCAGTCGGAATTTTTTTAACGCAGCATCCCAATAGATACTTATGTGTCAAGTTTCACCTTCATGTCTCTGGCCAATTTTGTAGGACAAAAAAAAAATATTTAAAAACGTCACTCCCCAAAAGTGTGCCCCCAGGGCATGCATCTGAAATTGACATTTTTCCTGAACTTTGTGCCTCAGTAGGCACTTCCTTGCAAAGTTTCAGCTTTCCATGTCTCCGTTTGACTAATGCAAATATGAGAGGTCTGGCTATAAAGTTCCAGGACTGATTTTTTTTTGAGTCAGTCAATATCAGAAAAAATATTTTTATTCCATGGACTGATAGATTAGACTTGTTGGGCAGTGTTGTGGCAGCCCTCATCCGACTAGCATCTTGAATGAGAGTTTGGCTGGCAATGTAGCAGCTCAGTGCCTAAGGCGTCTGTCATATTCCCCGAGTGAAGCAATGCTTCATCACATTTTGTCTCAAACCAATCAATACAGGAGCAGTAATCCATGAAACGTTGCTGAAGTGTCTTGAACTCTGCATCCAAAAAAGTACATGTGTACCAAGTTTCAGATTTCTAACTTCTCTAGAACAAGGTTAGAATAAGCATCAGTCAGGTAGTCACGATCGTCTATATATATTAGATGAACATGCTGGGATTTCGATTTTTCGTTAGCCCAATAATTCTACGCCTGTAAGGCATATATGGCTCCTAGCTGCATCCAACTTTATACTTCCATGAAGTTTTCCGTTTGCTTCCCAGCATATGGTTGTGATGCAGATGAACCAAAGATATGGTGAAGTCCACTTCTGCAGAGTACTTACTGCATGGTCCATCCAGGTCCATTCAAAAATGTCTTTTTTGAGAGGGCTTTCCTCTAATGCTTTTTTTTTTAATGAATACAACATACCAGTGTCTTTCATACCTAACTATTCGACCTTGACGTTTGCTAGGAAACCCATGATTCCAAAATTGCTATTTTCCCTACATTTTGATGCTTCGACGAAAATAAGTTTTCAGCGAAAAGATTCTGCATCGGCGAAATATCGCTTCGACCAATTTATTCGATATTTGGAGTTTCGTCCATTTGAAGAATCGACCTTTCCAGTTTTCGACCATGCTACTTTCGATGAATCGGTGTTCGACATTTTGATGCATTCCCCTCCTACAAGGTAAGTTCATTTCAACTGAAAAAGTGCTCAATGTGCCCTTCACTCAGTTGGGCACAAACCTCTTATCTGGAACGCCACAGATCAATGGCTGAGACATTAAGTCTTTGAGGCAGTGCCTCCAAATTTTCCTTTATAGCATCATGCAGGGAAGGAAAGTTATGAATTCGACCCTCCCATTCATCCCACCCTCAAGTTCATACAAATATTTTCGACACATTTTGGCGCGGGATATCAGAAAATAATTACAGTTCCTATAATTGTAGAGCCAGAGGGCTAAACTTAGGAATAAAAACTCCAATTGTCATTATAAGTCTACTAAATTTAATCAGAATCGGCAGCCTACACTGAGATTGAAGATTCACCAAAAATAACAGCTTTGGTTTTTTTTTACCCTACCCTGCAAATGGTTCAAATGTCAAATATCACCCCTCCCATTCTGCCTGCACCGTCACACACAAGAAGTTTTTCATAATTTCCATTAAAATATATAAATGATCATTTTCTCTTTAATGTTTATTCTCTTTAATATTTATTTGAAGAATCAAAATATCTTAATTTGTATTTATTCTTGCTTGGTATCAATACATTTTCACTTTTTCATGCTAGTTGATATTGATTTGCCATTCCATACTAGTTGAAAAGCACCTGAAGGTATTAGAAATAAACACTTTATGTGAAATGTGATATGCAAAATAATCCTTAAGGAATATGATTAAGAATCAAGGAATGCGGGTAGATTCTTACACCGTGTGCAATTTCTCTAGCAAAGTGAGGACATAATTCTCAAATGCTCTGTTTTGAAGATGATAACAAATAATGTGTAACAAACAAATATTTATACCAAAACCTACATTTTCCAAATTTGGTCAGTGGCATAAACTTCCCATTGCTTCCAATAATTTTTTTTTAGCAGATACCCAACTAATCACACACGAAATAGAGTCCTCAATATCTTCCACTTTCACAAAGCATTGGGGGGAAAAAAAAATAAGTTTCAGGCAGCAGTGAATTCTATGGACCATGCACCTTTCCTTGAAAATTTGGTGAATATATTCTGAGAACAGTCTAATGCTTTGTACAAAATGTGCAAAGGGAGCCCCCAATTAAGTATCAATTGTTATTGTGGGTTATACTCCCCTGTAATAGAAGAGTATCTCTGTGAAAAGCACAAGAGAGTGTTCATAATTTTTTTCTTTGAATAGGTTTAGGATCTGATCGTAACCCCAATCTTGACAAGCTATATACACTCCAGCCTTCAAAGTAGGAGGAACAAACCTGCTCTGGACTCATGTAGAGTTCTGTCCCACTACCAACTTGACCAACTGGATGAGATGTTCCTCTAGTATTCAGAGTGGCAACATCTAACACCAACCCAAAGTCACCAACTTTGACCCTTTGCTTTTCATCAAATAGAATGTTGGATGGCTGAAAAAAATAATACAGATGACAATTTCTCCAAGACAAACATGGAGGTGGTCCATACACATCAACTAACCTTGAGGTCTCTATGAATTAAGCCCTGGGAATGGATGTATTGTACTGCATCCAAGACCTGCCAAAGGATGGAATAAATGTCCTCTGCCCTGTCTTTAGGTTCCTCCACTCTGTCAAGCCAATTTGCCAAAGTCTCTTCAGAACACAGCTCCATTTGTATATACAGGAATGAGAGTGATGGGGCAGAAGTTGGGACATGCTGGTCTTGAATATCACACTCATTAGCCTCAAATATTACTTCAACAGATGTCCAGGACTCCTGCATCAGTGAAGATCCATTCTTCTGGTTCCTTCCATTACTTTGTGAAGCAGATGCCAGTGTTGTACCTACTGTAAAGGCAGATTTGTTGCTTTCCCCCTCACTAGATGTGGCACTGCGAAATAAAGAATAAATAGGAATATACCATGAAACCATGCATACCATTAACACAGTTTCAAGAGCCAGATAAATATATCATATTAGGTGATATATTTGGTTTTCTTTCCAGTTCTTTGTCAGATGAAGACAATCATATTATTTTCTCTTACCAAGTGCAATCAGCAGGCTATTATCCCTTTCCATCATTATATCCTTGCTATCAACTCACTTACCTCTTGTCCTCCGAAGTTGAAGTTGAAGTAACTTTAATATCCTCCAGCTTCCAGCCATCAGGGACATCATCAACCCAAGAAGCGTAGTATCGCACAATAGACTGGTGCTGCAGTTTAACCAAAGCCTTCACCTCTTGTGATGCCTTAGCACGCTCCTTCTCACTGCACAATGAGTATTTATGTTTTAAATTTCACGTATTTATGAGAGCTCTGTCAATGTGCATTAAATTCAGAGGTGATCGTGTTCCATAGAGATCTCATGGTCACCTGGATAATTATTTACATACTGTATTGATGGTGATCTCCCCCAACAATGATCCAGCAATTCATTGGCCATATGAGAAACAAACATCGCCATATTAGGACTAGGCATAAACTAATACAAAAATATCTTCTCATGAACAAAGATAGACCTTTAGTTAAAGATTGAGTTTTTACACAACTCAACAGCAACTCAATTTGGTGAGCAAAGATTACACTGAACATGACCTTCATGCCTACTCCAAGAATTTTTACAATAGAGGAGTAGATATCTATAAATACACATACAAAATTCTGAAGTGCAACGTAGGCCTGTATGTAATAGTAGAGAGTTTGTTTGCCCTTTGGGTAAACAAACTCTCTACTATTACATACAGTCAGTCAGCCACTCTGCAACAACTGTCTATACAAATGACTCCACAAAATGTCCAGCCCTTGTAGATTTAGTACCAGGTGCATGTCTGATTAAAAAACAAAACCGGGGGAGCCCCATCCACCTGGTGCAAAATCTAACTTCCATTCCCCTTCCATCCCCACCTGCCTTTTTGATCTTGGTGGATCCTGGTAGACACTTTGCAAGGGTTTAAGTGAGACACAGAAATCCAAGATGCTTTACTGAATAACAATGTCCTAATTTTATCTTATGTTGAGAAGACTTAGGGCTGCATTTACAACCATCAAGCATATGCTCCCCTACCTCAACCAAATTAAGAAATGAGTAAAAAAAAACAAGTGCAAAGGAAGGTCTGACAGCAGTTTGGTTTGGGCAATAGTACTATTGGAGTATGATGACAACTGACCTTTTGAGAAGGCGAATCCTTTTGATGGCATATGAATGGTTGTCCAGTTTGTTCTGAGCCCTGAACACAACTCCAAAACCACCCTTTCCTCCTGGCACCCTTCTTTGGTTTATGAAGTCCCTTTGAAGTCTTGATTCAAAAACCTGGAGTGGAAGAAACAAAGTTATTTCTGCCAAAGGAGATATCTGAATAAAACCTTTTTACACCTTCATCCAGGCATTCAAATATCCAAATTCCTTTTTTTTTAGCATGGGTGGAAGTTACGGGTAAAATAGAAATGGAAACATTAAGGTGTTTACAATAAAAATGTAATCATGACTGAAAAAGTTTTCTTATACTAGCTACCAGAGGTGGAAAAAGTTCTACTGCTTCCTGGTAACTATGGTTTACCTTCCCAGTTTTGCATGTGAGTGATGTGACCCTATGTTTAGGAAGAGGGGGGATACTTGACATTTCTTGCTTGAAATATTTATTTTATTGAATACATACTTGAGTCTCCCCTGCTGCCTATTCAGACCTCTGAAACAGCATGTAACTTCAACATGTATGCTTGCTTCATTCTTTGCAAGAAATGCCAGCTGCTTCTTCCTCTAAAATGGAGATAAAGAGCTTGAACAAGGAGCTCTTTGGCTTGCCAAAGGGTTTAAGGGATCAATTAGAGCACTTTTTACTAGACATCAGCAGATATTCTTTCAGTGACAATGCATACAAGTTAACAGGACACAAACTGCTACATACCAGGAGGTCTAAAGGCCACCTCTATATTTTAGTCAAGAGTATTTGATTGATGTCCCCAATTCTCATCTTCTTCTATCCTCCTCATTTGGGTGAGATCCTGCAACCCACAAATTGCAAAAATACTCAATACCGAGATCCTTACACCAACATGTTCAGAAGGGAGGGAAAAATCCATATCCTCATCACTGAACTTGGGGATACCTTCACAGTTTCACTCAGGGGCTTCATCTTTTGCAGTAAGCTGCCATTAACCCTGTATCAATCCATTACCAACCCTTATCCTAAACACTCCGACCATCTCTTACCTTTCTGCTCTTTCTTTTTGCATATTTTCCTTCTTTCCTCCTGTCTTGCCGCCCCAGTCAGTTGCTGCCCTTCCCGGTAACTGGGTTATCAGGCTACAGAACTTTTCTCACCTCTGCTAGTTACATTTCAAATTCAAGTACCCAAATCCAGGCACTTGTGGTGATGGCAAGAACTTTACTGCTTCCTGACAAGCTTCAGTAGACAAACTGTTTAAAAGAAAACTTCCTATGCTTATCCCATACATGTAATGGTGCATGGATGTAAAGTAAATACTATTTTGAGGCCTGGTCACAATCAACTTTAAATTTAAAAAAAAACAATTACTCAGTCAATGGCTAACCAATAAATTTAAATTTTTAAAATCACATTACATACTGAAACCACCTTTTTTTTTTCTCTAAGAAAGTCACATAGAAACATCAAATTAAAACTGTAATTTGAAAAAGTTATATAGGTAAGACCATGACTTCCTCATGGACACAGGGGAACCTTAATTGAATTTGGGAAAAGAAAAACTGCGGCTTACTCCTTAAATTAAGAAACAAAATCCAATAAAATCTCTACTAAACTCAATTATGGTAATCATGAAAAGCAGTTTGTTTATATAAACTCATTCCTATATTTTTACTGAAAATCTATATCATTGCAGAACAGTCTTACTTGTACTCCACTGGGAATCAGGTGTTGGAGTGTGCTTCTGTTGATTCTTATGTCCTCAGAGGCTTCCTCAGTGACCAAGTGCCCCTCTTCTTGCATTGCATGCCAAAGCTGTGAATGCTCTGGTAGGAAGTCAATGATGATGAGGTCCATTTTGGTTCGGGACATGCTTTCCATGAGCCATGTATCATCCACATTCACAGTAATGACAACATTCGATTCACACCCTTGAAAGTCTTTGGGATGAATAAATTCAAGCACTCCAGCATGGGCTTTGCTATTTTCTTTGAGAGGGTTTACCAAATTCATATCTGAAACCAGCACATGGACATATCCTATGCTCCTCCTCAGAGTATATTCCCTGTCCAGCTTTTCTTTGGTAAAATATCCATCTTCAAGTAATTTGGACAAGGCAAATTGGAAGCAGGAAAGCACACTTTTCTGAAGCATGGATATGTCCTGACCTTTATAATCATGATTCATATTATTGCCAGAGATTTGATGTTTCATGGAGATGAACAAAGGCTTGCGTCCCCAGATCAAGCCACCAGTGCGTGACCCAGAGGTGAGAGATGTCAGCCCAAGTGACAAGGGATAAACAGTCTCATTTTTACAAATGTGAGCGAGAAGCATTCGGTTCAAGGGGGATCTTACTTTTCTGAGCTTAATCACCTCCACCTTCTGTTCAAAGAAGGATATCAGTTCATCCATTGAGACTTCTCTACCATATTTAGAGTGTGTTTGGAAGGCAACTGTAAGTATTACTCTCTTGCCTTCCTTGGTTAGTTTCTCCAAGACCTGCTTCCATGTTGCAATCTCTTCTTGAGTGTCCTTGCCCTGTATGGAATAATCATCCACATAAATGTGGATGGTCTTGACACGGTATACCCAGCGAATATTCTTAACTCGTTCATGTTCGATAATATCCTGGGGTGATAGTGCTTTACCTCTAACAATTTCTAGGAAACTCAGGCAATTCTTGAGAGCATCTAATATTACTCTCTGACTTGAGTCACTCCCCATAAGAAAGAGAGGCACTTTGGGTGACTTTGGGGATTTACGGGCAAATGCCACATGATGTTGAATCTTTTCAGTCAACATATTACTCTTCCCTGAAGAAGGGGGCCCAAAAATGACTGTCAAAAGAGGTGATTTTCTAGATGAGTTAGTACCCATTGTCATTTTCCTCTTGTCTACTTTTTTTACATTCTCCAACTTGGTTGACAATCCTTCTTCCTGGCGATGCAGGACTCTCAAGTCCTCCATTGAAAATCCTTCAATGGGTTCATGCATTTCAAGCATGCTGATGGAGTTATGCTTAAAATACTTCCTCCTTTGAACAGAATTCTTCTCCATGGCAATGATTAGATTCTTGTAGCATGAAGACATCATGCTCACATAATTTGTCCATATGCACTCAGGCAAGTCTAATATGAGAAGGGTTTTGATCATGTAGTACCCTAGGATCTGATCACCAGTGAGAATAAGAACAGAGCATGATGGTACAACACATAATTGTCCCCATGTGCCCATATATCCAGCCTTCATTCTAAACTTCAATTTCAGAGTCTTCACAATCCTGTCTCTTCGCTCAATTGTGTCCACCACAACATGAAGGCGATTCTCAGATGAAGAATACTTCCCTGAGAGTGTTTGTATGGCCTTGGAGGACCTGAGTGCCTCACAGTCCAGCTTGTTTTTGCAGTCATCATGGAAATCACCACAGGAAGAGATATAGAACAAGGTTGAAATTGGATTCCAGTACCAGGTTGAAATTGGATTCTGTTCAGGGCAAAACAAATATTCCATGCACTGAATAGTGGGTTCTTGACATACAAATATCCTTCCTGAGTAGCTTTCTATTGCCAGCAATAAGTCTGCCACATGACGGGTGTTCCTTTTATTTGTGTGCAAGATTTCAATTCTGACACCTGGTATTAGTAACTCTTGAGTATAGATGTCCACTTCAAGGGTTGCATCATAGGAACGCAATGCTATAGTCAGACTTTTTAGTTGCTTTGAAAGCCTGAATATATCCTTCCAGTTCTTTAAAATACTCTTTGCATTCAGACAACCTGCCACCAGATTGAGAGGTACTGCATCAAGAAGTACATGTTTCCCCTTTCCATGCTCTTGGAGGAAGGCAATGATTCCCTTGCCATCTGTTGAGATTTTTACTTCACTCCCATCGAAGACTTTGATGTTTCCCTCTGCAAATATCCAACAATACTCAGCTTTTCACTGGATGCACATTATTTTAACTCAAATAAAAAAGACAAAAGTTACAGAACATAAGCTTTTGGCATATAAAGCTTAAACACTTTCGCATATCAACCAAGAGTGACATTTGGCACGTCTTCATGCACACAGTCTTCAAGCCCAAAGTGAGGCAATTCATCATCACACTGAATGTCCTCAGATTCTGACTCTTCACCATTCCAATGAAGGTCAAGAATACCTGTTGCCAACCAATTCTGGATTCTGGATTGGACATTTTGAAATTGGATTCTACAAATGATATATGAAATGAGGATCAAAACATTTTTTAAATATGCATTTTAGTTAGTTTTATTGGGAATGTGGACTGGGTTACAGTTGAAACACATGTGTTTTCAATAACATTTGGGATCAACTGTCCTCTGTAATGAGCAAAGTATAGTCATCAAGCTACATGAAGTAAATTGACTTCTTTATAATGGATCTAACAGGATTGACTACATTATTCTACTATACTATATTTAACTACACTACAGAATAATTCAAATGACAGTCATGAGAGGGCTTTATATGAAGTTCATCTGTATAGAATATTGTCCACTGTAAAGGATCATAAGTGCAGCATCATGAGAATCATGAAAAAGCATGAAAGAAAAGTACAAAAAGCTGGGTCCATTGTAATGGATGCTGGGTCTGAAAGGGTTGAAGAAGCACTGTACCATTTAAATCACTTTCTAGGCCTAAGGAGGGAACAATGATACCAGTATGCCATTAGGAAGTATAGATGCTGAAAGTTATACTTGAAATATAATTTGCATAAAATATGCTAATTAGCATCCAAATTGGCTGCCATAGTCAGTAATTACCCTATTTTCAAATACAATTACACTTACCCACAATAAAAAACATAAGTTTGCCATATTAGTTCAATAATTATTTCCAATAGAATTCCAATGAATTGTTGAAAATATTTTTGTTTGAAAATTTCTCATATATATGATGTTCCCATATGGGTAAAAATATAAAAAAAAAAGTAATTGAAGGAAAATTTGGAATGAGTCAAGTTTTGCAGATGAACAAACCAGGATGCCTTTTTCCCTTCAGAAAAAATGCAGATACATCAGCCAATATCATATAGACTATTGGGTACAAAATATAGGAACAATTTGTATTGAAATAATATTTAACATTTAACATAGGTCTACCTTTAACAAGCATACAATGAAAAGGATCTCTCATGCTTGTCATTTGATTTACAGTAAACTCCATGTGAACTTACTTTGAGCATGAGGGTGTTTATAACTGACCTCGAAGTTCATTCTTTAAAACTTGTGTGAGATGTCCACCTCCTGCATTCACCACCAATACATCTGTTTTTTGGTCACCATCAGCAATTTTCCTTGCTCTCCCAATTAAGGTTTTAGTCTTCCCAGAGCCTGGTCCTCCTGCTATGAGGAGAACCCCTGATAGTGGATTCACCACAATTGATTGTAGATAATGATATCCAAGTGGATTTATCACAATTGATTGTGGATAATGGTAAAATGGTAATGGTAAAACTGGTAAATAATCCATTCCATCCATCTTTTTGGAATTGGTAAGGTCCATCTGGAAAACAACTTCATGACATCAGTGTAGACCAGAAATTGTCACCAGACAACCAAAAATAAATATGGGGAAGGACAAGGAAATGGAACAATACAACAATATGACACCTAAGTTTTTGTACATAAACTTGTATAATCCAAGGCACAAGACTGAGTTAGAGTTGAGACCTGACTTAGCAGGATTCTAGACCAGGCCTGACCATGATCCTTAAGATACTGAAAAGATTAAGACTGACCAATGACCCTTACTCCCACTGGCCATACCAATAAGTGTGTAGGACATGCTAAACTTAGATAAGAGATGCGATTTTCCATGAATGAGTGAAAGATGGTGGCTCTGACATGTGCAGCAGAATTCAATTTCATAATACAGAACATCTCTTTGGATGAAGAAGTGACTTCATAAAGCTGAAAAATTTACTATACAGAACTTAATTAACAGAAACTTTATAATGTGTGCATGTGCAAACAAATTGGAAATTTAAAAAAATTCTTAAAATATTAAAACTTGTTATATGGAGGTTTGTTATATCAAGCATCAACGGTCCATCCCTCTACCTCCTTCCCATCACTTCTTTTATAAGATAGCATAGGCCATTACACACTGAACGCTTTGCTTGGGATTTTGTGATGCATGAGACATTCATGTCTGCAGGCATTTATGCCCAAATGCTAAGGAACATATGCTTGCATGTATATCCACATGCACTTGCATATTAAGAAGGAAAACAATGTCTACATGTCAAATTTGGTTCCATTCAATTCCTCAACCAGAGTTCCAAAATGTTCCTGTTTAACTAGGAGATCTCTGTTAAGGAAGCAAGGATCCTCCTGATCAAAGCAGGAAATATTCACAACCTGAATCAGTGCAGTTGCCAGCTTTTCATAATTAATATGGACAGAACATATTTCAGGTACAATGTCCATAGTGTAAACTGGGACTAATATGGACACTATTTTGTCTAAATGTTGAACTTGCTAAGACTTTTTATGCATGCAAATCTTAAAGGCCGCTAATATCATTACTCTCCATTAATCAACAGTAGGCCACACTCAGTGTCATTGGCTGCTCGGTTAAAGGTGGCTGTGGGTATAATTTGAATATGTGCCCATATTTTGCTACATTTGAAGGTGGCACCCCTACTAATCAGCCTCCACATGTGGGGCATTTGAAGGGTGGGAGGAGAAGCTATAATTGGCACATCCTATAATCGGCTATTAGAGGGCAATAATATTAAAGGACAATGCTAAAATAAATATTGTCAAAATTTCATTTCTTCAGCAGTCTTTGGAAGGATTTTTAGATTTGAAAATAACGTTTCAGTTACATAGGTTGACAAAGCAAATGTCAAGAGTAAAATTTTTCCACTTCCGTCAAGCTCAAGCTAACTCTTTGCTACATGAACATGCTATATTTTAGACCAAATGGAAACAGTACTCAAGGTGGTTCTGACCCAAGTGTCGAACAATGTTAACGTAGAGGCTCAATGTTAACGTAAAGAGGCAAAGCAGCTCCGATAATAGGTCAATCTGTCAAGTTGAGATTCACATTGTTCTGCTACATCAGCTTAAAATACTGAAACATGACTCCAGGTTAAGACCATGACAGCACGCACGTGGCCAGCACTACCAGCAATAAAAGTATTTTGCAATTCCCTCCCACCAATCGTAGACTAGCTTCACAGTTCCAACATGGCGGCTGCCGGAAGCATCCGCATGTGTCCTCGCTCATAGTGAGTTTGTGCCACTAGATGAATGAAATATGGGCCTGCGGGGTCAACGCGTTCATGAAGAAAGCCTCGAGAGATTTTTGTTGCGGGCCAACTTCCTGGCATGCAAGTTTCACTGGAGGTGCTCGTAAATGCTGGATTTTGGTACACTTTTTAAATGCAGGAAGTATACCAAGTGCATCCTTAACATATTCATTCATGGTATCAATCAGCCTTCCATCGTCTTTTATTTCATGCATTGCCCCAATCAAAGCGTCATTTGATTGTTGAAAGATCTCCATTTTCTCTTCGTGTTTCTTTTCCTCGTTAGAGAGTTCAAATGCATGACAGTTTCTTCCCTCAGCATTGTTTTATGAAAACACATCAGCTGCTTTCCCCTTCTCACCTTCTGGGGCAGCTTCAATATGACGTGCGTTGTCGGTGCTGAGAGTTATCATCTGCTTCCTCTCTTTGCTGTCCCTCAATGCTTGAGGTGGAGGAAGGCGCTTTGCATCCGTCATGGCGACCAAATGCTTGCACGCTGTGGTTTTAGGTTCAATATCTGTGCTTGAACATTCAAACATGTGTACACAATAGAACACTCCTGACAATAATGGGCACAGAGTGGTTGAGCATGGGAAATTGCTGTCTCCCATTTTACTTGGTAGACTTGTGATCCTGATCCATGCACATCTCAATTACCATAATCCCTTTGACTCATCCAATCAGTGGACATTGACAGACTTTTCAAGTGCCAGTCTCTTATGTCAAAAATATGTGGGTGTTCTTTTCCTTTATGGATTTTTAGTGACCTGTCAAAGTTCACAAAAGTTCAAAGTTCTTACCCTTCAGCCATCACATCAGCGTATGGATGCCTTTGTCCATTTTTTGCAGGGCAACCTTTCAAGTACAAATGCTTTAGCACTCAAAGAACTTCTGAATACATGTTGTGATGGGCCTGCAGACCAAGGCGATAAAAATATGCCCATTGCTTGAAGTGATAGGCATAGTGTGTCTTAAAGTACACACCAAAGTCCTGAGTGGCAATACTCCCTTTCATAGTTTCCAAACACTTGGGTAACAAGTCATGAAAAGCCATTCGATTCCTTGCCTCCAAAAGCACACAGAGTTTTGCATATATTTGCTTTCATTTTCCAGCCACCTTTGATATTAGGAAAATATTTCCTCTAGTTCCTGTCCAGGTGTCACACCCAGAGCAATCAATGAGTTGGAGGCCCAGTTATTTCACTCCATGCTTTTGCAAAGGTTTCATAATCATCACTCATGAATGTAACTCCAAGAGGAGGACTTCCTAAAAAAGCTTTCAATGCAGAGAAAAGCACCTTCATATGACAAATGTCAACTTTGTCGGAAAAGCAGAAGGCAACAGGAACCCTTCCTCGTGATAATCAACTTCCAATACCTATGTTAATTGAAAATAAGTGACTTGTCCATGGGTTGAATCTACACAAATAAGTTTCCTCAGCCCAAAAGTGTCTAAAGTCTGAAAGTGAATTTCAGTTGTTATAATAAGGATGAAATCAAGTTCATCAAGGCCATACATACAAGACTCATCCTGAAATTTTATGTACCACACATGACCAGTTCTATTTTCTTCCTTGTCCATTCCTTCAACCCATGCATGACCTTGACTCACTAGCGAATGCAGGGGCCTGGGCAGGGCATGTAACATATCCACTCCAGTTTGCCAAGGTTCAAGAAATGTGATGTGTTTCTATTGTTTCCTGGGTGAAACACCATTCAGCCACCATCAAGAAAAATATATTGCTAATATATCATGTTATTGGCATAGCAAGGGGGGGGGGCAGGGGAGGACAGTTGCTCCTGGGCGCAGGGCTGAGAAGGGCGCAAACTCTGACCAAAAATTTACATTTTTGTTTAGACTATACAGGGTGGTGCAAAAGTCATGCACCATAGGAGATTTCCCTGTTGCAATAAATTAACACGTTGACGACCAGCCTATTTTTGCTTGTCCGCCGCGTGGGACCACGTGCATTTTTTTAGTCAAAAAATGCGTCCTGCCATCAGGACGCATGGTCCCAGAAAACATTTTTTTGCCGAGTTTTTTTAAAATGTTGAATTTTTTGGAATTTTTATCAGTAATTACGAAATCATAATCTTCTGGAACGTTCTCAACAGTTCCAGATTCATTNTTTTGGAATTTTTATCAGTAATTACGAAATCATAATCTTCTGGAACGTTCTCAACAGTTCCAGATTCATTGAAAAAAAATCTGCATCCTGGCATCGGGACGCATTGTCGCCAACGTGTTAATGTAAGTGGTAAGTGATGGCTGATAAATTAACAAAAGACAAGAGGGTGGTGCTAAGATATGTTCAAACATCATGCATACTGTGAATCAAAGAGCTTCCCTTTCATGGGCAAACAATTAGAACATTCATTGTAATTTACCCTATGTTGTGCAACTTTTGCACCACACTGTATTTGGACTCCAAATAAAATTTCACTCCACTCAGCCCTGCACCCAGGGGGCTACTGTCCCACCCTGCCCCCCCCCCTTGCTATGCCTCTGATCCATGTAAATATATGTATGATGTTAAAATGTATTTGCTCCCAAAGGCATGGTAACAGATTCAAAAGTTAAGGCTCATACTCAATACGTGCATGAGGAGCGAAAAGTTCATGATGGAGTCTGTCCCTCAGCCTTATATATTCTAGACTGAGGGGCTGAAACCTTCAGGCAACAAAAGAAAGTGACAACCAGCTTCCATTCTCAAATGGTTTTTTTTTCTTAACATCTCACAATATGGCAAACTCCTCTGACCACATTTCATAAAAATCTTTTCTACTTCAGAATAATGATTTTTGGAATGCCCAGTATATGTCAAATGCATTCAGTTTTATTTCCATCTCAGACTGCATTACTGGCAAATAGGTGATCGCATAGACTGAAGAACCTCATATATTTGGAATGATAACCTTCAAAAATGAAGAAAACACAATACATGATAAATATGTACCAAGCCAAGCCAAACAGGGACATGGCAAGCTCTCATGTCCTGACTTGGAAGTAGCCAGCTTTGGTGATATACTTCACCCCCTTAAAGGGCTTGTAGCGTTCCCCATACATGTCCAGCCGGTTCACTCGCAACCCAGATGCAGCCAGCTGTGTCAGCGTGAACTGGAGGTTGATGCTTGGGTTGCTCTTTGGGGCAGGGGCTCCACTTTGTAAGCTCACCTATAAAACAACACATCATGTTAACCATCTGGTACAGAAATTAAATGAAACTGATACTTTTTCAAAATACCAATGCTGCCATTCAGAGCCAACTGCCTCCAGGCCAACAAGATATGGAGGGAAACTTTATCGTTACAGGTATGAGATAATAGTGCTCTGATGACATTTTAGGGAATCTCAATATTCAATCTGCCAATCTTACTAATGAAATACTTAGACTAATAATACAACTGAGCAATGGAGCTGATGGCAAGTCTTCCACCTGAAAGGAAGAAAACTATTACAATCCTATCTCATCTCTGCATCCCTGATTACGTAGACAACACTTAGCCTTCCATTGAAAATAGCATCGCTGCCAGATTGCGCTTCACAATAAGCTTACATAGGAAGATGGATTAAGAAAGAGGAAGACGCACTGTGCCACGAATGTTGGGGACAGAGCCAGCCTCAATGCGTCCCACATCCCAGAAGAGGACCTTCTTCACAGGGTCAAATGAATAGCGACCTTGGGATGGAGTCAGCATGCAGTTCAGCACCGCCTTGGGCATTGGCATCTCCAGCTTCACATCTTCCAACTGTCAACCCACAAAAGTTTAAATTAAACTTAAACTAAGTCATTTGGGCCCTGCTCATCCAAAGAAAATTCCCCCCCCCCAACCATCAATTTGGTAACTTTTCATCCAAAAAAACACACACAGGCCCCCAGACCTGACTCATTCCTTTTTGTTAATGAATTTGAATGATAAAATTCATAAGGGTCAGGTCCAGGGACCAGTTTGCATATTTTTGGATGAAAAGTTTCCAAACTGACAGATGGAATTGGGAGTGTTCATCCTATCGCCTCCCAAGTCTCCAGACATGACCCCTAGAGACTTCCATTTGTGGGGAGATATTAAGAACATTGTGTATGACACATGCACATGATGCATGACTGAATTTTACAGGCACATTGGGAGAGCAGTCAGGAACATCACACTTCCCCAATTGGAAGCAGTTTTGGATGTGTTCACTAGACGGGTGCATGCATGTTTTGACGAAGATGGCAGACATGGAAGTGTGAGATGTATGATTTGGTGTGTCACATAAAAATTTATGAAATAACCTTTCCTATTATGCATATCGCAAATTTCTACACCACCCTGTTCCAAGATATATAGGCATGACACCCCTCAGGAACTTTCTGTCCACCCTGTATAAGATATGACACACTCTCCTTCAACCTTAAAGATGCTAAAACCCCCCCTCCCCTTGGGTGTGTAGAGGACACAGAAAATACTCCCCTGTTTAACTCTTATAGTACCAGTTAAATAGATTGGCAATTTAAAATGAAATTGGTGGTGTTGATCTAATAGATTCTGGTACTAAAAGGGTTAAGTGAATGCTGGAGTCTTGAACATGCAAAGAATAACCAACTACAGTTTCATACAGCTGCTTTCTTATATCTAAAATGGCAAAACCAAAAGGAGAAGGGTGACAGTTCCTTTTCAACATATAGGATGTTGAACATCAAGAGGACGCTGGATTTGGAAGAAAGTTGAGTTTTCATCCCCAGCCATCAAGGAATGAAGGATATGGTTTTTAGATAATCCTCATTTCCATAAGTTGGCCTGATCCCAATTCTGAGGAAAGAAGTTAATGAATGTCTGAAAAAATTTAGGTCAGAGTAATATTTCCCTCACCAAGCGTCCCATGGTCTGCTTAGGCCCAATGGTTATGTCCAGCCGTGCCCCGCCAGGCTCCCCACGCAGCCCGATGTGATGACGAACATAGACGGGAATGGGGAAAGCATTCATCCCACCCACATGGTATGTCATCAGGATGAAGTTCCCATCTGGTGGGATGAATGACAGCACCTTCTCTGACTGGCAACAAAGGGATCATCATCACATAAAACATCAGGGAAATTCCATGTATTCCATGCAGAAGAAGGGCTTCTTTGAAATCTATCCTACTAGATTGGTAGATCCTTAATAATCAGAAAATAGAAGGATATTAGACACAAATACCTCTCAACAGAGAAACATAAAGCCACTTGCTCCTGTTCACAGTAATAAAGGATTCAGAGAAGCAAAATTAATTCAAACACTAGCGCATCAGCCACCACATCCTGAAGTTAGGTCACGAGGCCTATGGCTCAGCATGGCTCAGAGAGCATCAGTAAATGTTTCAGGAGCTAATATTTGAAAAAGTCATACACAATCTATACATATTAGAGCTTGAAGTGGTGCTGGTTGACACTTTCAATATTTATATCAGTTGCTAATTTGCCATCCTACAAAAGGATCCTTTGTGTGAAGATGCAGCATGATAACAGAAAACAAAAAATCAAGATCAATAAAACTGAAAGTCCAAAGGTAAAGTATCATCCTTCAAAATAGTAATGGCATAGAATAGGATAATAGACAAACCTCCCAGCGTCGATAGCGAACACAAGGATGGAAGCTGACATCATCAACAAGGCGGGGATTCACAAACGACAGTGTGAGGTCTGGCATTCCGCTCAGCTTCACACAGCACTCAATCTGCACAGGAAGACATCTCAAGCATTTAAAAACCTGCCTATGCAAGAGAGGGTGGACTGAAATCACGATGATTAATGGTCCACCATGTCTCAGGACACACGAGGAAAAGAGATTCAAGAAGTTCAATGGCATAATTGCACCTGATTATCTAACAGGAACTTGAATGCAAATAACTCTATTTTCTGGCAAAATTTTCTTTCAGGTCCACTTCATGGATCTGGAAGAGGAAATGGATCTGGAAAAGGGGAAAGAGGCTCTTCTGGCACTGATCCACTTCATGAATCAGTGCCAGAAGAGCCATGGTCTTCACATGGCAATGAAGACCAAGAAATTTGAAGAAATCAAGAAATCCATGCAATACTTAATAGAATCAGAACAAGAATGGGAATGCATTCACAAACAAAAATGAATGGAGCTTAACAAACATTTGTATTTGCTATGCAAATTTCTTGGATTTGATGATGATGTCAACTGATTCATACATTTGCTTCCAGTCCTTGGAGATTAAGCATCCTGTATTATGAAAAAGATGTTTGCACAAGACAGGCCTAATGCCATATTGAGAGGATGTCTCATATTTTCCAATTAGATGTATCCATTTAACAAGCATGTTTCCTATTAGATAGATTATGACATAATGGAATGCAAAGTTATTCATCATTGCAATCATCAAGCTTTTCACATCATGAACCTGCAAAATGGAATGGGGTTTCAGAGGGTTCATGACTTTTTTTTAGACAGTGCTAACATGAGACAAGCTTGTGTAATGATACAATCACACCAATTTTTCCTTCATATCAGGCCTGAAGCTTTCCAGCTGCCCAAAAAATTTAAGACATCTACAATAAATTCATGTAGGATACTAATTTCTTGAAATGGCTTCAGGAAAATATATATGGCCTCTAACGAAAATAAGTATGCAATTAAGTTGGCACTGATAGTTTCCATCTTTAGGTTTGTTTACCCATGTGTGCACTTACAGATTAACAAATATGAGGGCATTATGCTTGGAACAACATAGAATGAACTTTACATCAGGAAATATGAACAAAAACGGACTCAGAGTGAAGGATCCATCAACTTTAAATCCGTATGTTTCTCTGAAGAAATCATGACCTGGTGACATACTTCCTCAAATCAACCCCAACATCAATTTCCAACCATGCAATTTAAAAAACTCTGCTCACATATATACTTGTATTAATTAGCTCCTGCAAGCATGAATCTACATACATCAACTCATTCAACATCTGTAAACCCACAATAAATAAGGAAATCAAACAGACCCTTCCTTGGATCTCGGCATTGACAATCCCACCAGACTTGTCAAGGATGGCATCCACTTCCTCGATGACGTCAAAGTAAGCCTCATTGTTTGTGTATTTAACTCCTTGCCGTCTCCAGGGGATGTTAGACAGCTGGCCCATTGGTAGTGTTGAACTCATGCTGAAAGTCAAATCCAAGGCTTCAGTTCTCAAATAGAACACCTTCATAAATTTAAACCATGCCAAAAACTGAACTCCCTAGCTTATGATCCACAGCTGGTAGGGGCCAGAGCAAAATGCATATTTATCCTGGCAAGAGATTGCAATTCAAGTACTCTACATGAGGGTATATAAAAGGGTATATTTTTGGAATCCCATGAGCATATTTTGCAGACATTCTCCAAGGTTGGGAAATGGCATATACAGAAAGAAGTCACTACTTTCAACATAACAAGACCTGGCCATTCGATATAGGTTGCCCAAAATTCAACTAACAGAAGTTAGTCCTGCCCCCAGAGAGAAAATCCTATGCTCAGGGAAAACAACAATGTCAATTTTACCATCCCATATCCAATTATGATTTCATGGAGCAAGGACAATTGAATGAATTAAAATACAACAGGATTCAATTGAATGTGTCTACTTTGTGAATTGAATATTATCACCATTATCATGTCATATCACCCAATGGTATATAACCTGATAATGTTGTGTCAAGCCATCAAAGATGCACCAACATACTCAAACATACACTACTTCAATGTCCAAGTATCATCATCCAAGTAAAAAAAAAAAAAATAAAGAAAATATTACTGGACTTCAAGATCCACTTTTCTATACTTTTCATGGAATACATAAAAGTTTGTCAGGCAAAATCCTCCCAAAAAATGGGATGTGGAATGTTACACATGCCTGCAGAGTTCATGCCACTAAATCAATAAATTGTATATAAGCCAATTGAACCAGCCTTCAATAATCATACCATTAGTTCCACTTATGTTCACTTAGTTCAATGCACTGCTTCCAGACTGCAGTCACTGGTCTCAAAGGTTCAGAAATTTAATTTGACATTTCTAGCAATGAGGTGGATGGAAGTCAGTCATGTTCAAAACAAGGAGGCAATATGAGATTTGTCCTGTCCAGATGAGAGTCCAGCAAAATGTTGAGATAATGCTAGCAAGGATGCTGATATCTCTTATTTCAGCTCTATTTAGAGAAGTATGGTATTACCAAAGAACAGTCTCAAGTCTGTCTTCTGGAAGAAAATTACCAACTGACTCAGGCATGATTGGATGTGACCAGTTTGAATGATGGCCATATCACTGTTGTTGAAGTGAATAAATTATGCATTCATTAACCACAAACATTACAAATGCAAAATTTAGAAGAAAAGCCTCATCTGAATGGAATTTTGAAGGAGTTCATTGAACCAAGTACAACAATCATAAAAGACAGTTGGTGAGGGTTTTGAAGGCTGGCTCAAGTAGAACGTACAATAATCTGGCATTGTTGTTCAAGAGACATGCACACTACTCTATCTCTGACTTTCAAGACAAATATTAAATAGCCTCAATGAAATGTGAACTGGATCACAGAAATCTATTGCCTGTGACAACTTCTCAGAACTTTCCCAGGATACTTTGTCCTGGCAACAAATGCAATTAACAATATTTCATGCTTAAATGGTTTATGCAACCCTAATTTAGCACTGTGTCTTCATCATCCAAAGCTAATACCAGAAGTACCTAAGCTAGTATTCAATACCTACTTCAATCAAGACTCACTTTCAAGCAAAACTGTCATACAGAGCACTCTTGAAAGACAATTTGGGGAACAACAAAAAAAGAGAACGAACTTAGAATCTCCAGTGATAGTGTTCTTGAGAGTACGCAGTATGTTTGGGGGCTTGATGAGTTCCTTGAGGATGTTGCTCTCTGTGGCCAATGGGAACCCATTGTCCAGCATCTCATCCAGCAACTGTATAAGGACAAGGGCAGGGAAGGCTTCTAAAGTAATTCAACATGTTATACCAATTCATCACACCAATGTTTCCAAGCATTTAAGAATATTGGCAAATAAACAACTTGGTGACATGAGTGATTTTATACCAAGGAGACATTCAAAAACCTGATTGTAAAGGCCTGGGAAAGTAATTCAGTTCATTGTTCAGGTACTATTAAGGCAAGCAGAAGAGAAGCAATTCCTTATTACTCCAATATAATTAAATGAACCCCAGTTTTGAAAACCCAAAAGTGCAATCAAATCATGACTACTGCAAACAAAGTTTTCCACCAGTTAATTGGTGGTGAATTGATTGGCCATATGGTACTAAAATGGTATTAAACAAAGTCTCACCTCATAGACCACAACGTAATTCTCTTTGATGATGGTCTCATTGCACTCTCCAAAGTAATCCTCAAATGTGTCCACAACACGATGGAAGAACTCGATCACAAATAAAGGAGGCACTGTTCAACAAAAAACACTTATATGTCAATGAAGAATCACTAATTCCATTGTCAATCACACAAGTATGGCACCAATATCAGCACCAAACTAATGCACTCTATACATTATTAATATAACAAAATGAGAAAATAGTGCTATAATCAGAGTCTATGGTACAATACGTCAAAAATACCCTGGTGCAGGAAATGGTTACAGGCAGCTTCAGAGTCAGTCAAAAACTGGTTTGAAAGGAATATATATACAGCAGAGCACTGGGAATTCCATAGAAGATGCACCTATCCAACAGACATCATTGCCAATCACCTGACCACCTCTAATGAGCACCAGCAACACACCCATCTCCTATTCCTTGCTCAAAGATGAATGTTGATTTTTGAGGCAGTACTTCAGAAAAGCTGCTACACTTTCACTATGAACCACTCTGACATCCTGATGTACATTGAGTAAGCTTAACAATCCCCTCATAGAGGAAATAAACAAAAATCTGGAAGATGATAAAATCTTGTCTTTTTTGTACTCCATCACTTAGAGGACAGTGCTCATGTGATGACCAATTTCATAATTAGGCTCTCAGTCACTACTAACTGCAATACATGAAAACCTACCTTTCCTTACCCTATTTCTATTCAATTTAAAATGGGACATGGTACAGAAGATACATTAATTTGTAATCAATGAGAGCATCATTCTCAGTCCACACCATTTACCATGAAAATAATATGCACTGCCATAAATGGCTGCATAACCATTGATCCCATTTCACTGCAGCTTTCCTTTCAAACGAGAATGGAAGCTTCTCTTTCTAATCTCACCTTCAGTGAGCGAGACAGCAACAAAGAAGAGGGAACATCGATAGATGCTGATGAGATAGTGGTGAGGGGTCGCAATCACAGGGGGAATGTCGTCGGGGGTGGTGCTCTTCCGTTGTGCATCGAAGAAGTAGTCACACACTGACCTCGGCACCACACTCTTCCAGTGTTTCTCCATAAACACATCTCTGGTGTTGAAAAGAAAGGATTATTTACAAGCCTGCCCACTCTGATTGTCATATGTCATCTTTGATACACCATTTGAAACATAAGCATATATATATATATATATATATTCAAATTATGATCAATACATGGTACAAGAGGAGATACATTCAATAAAGAAAGTACAGTTTGATTTTGATGGGAGTTTGAACTAATAGTTGGGAATTTAATGAAAAGAGAATGTTATTATGTTGCCCCTAAAGATAGGCCAGGTTAGGCTATGTTTTAAGTTGTAGACCCCAAACATCTTGAAATTTCATCAGGTGTATGCATAGGCCTAAAAGGCCAACTGATTATGAGCTTCTCAACTAGCTTCACGCTCGGCACATGCCTAACTGTTAGGCCTATGACGTCATGATGTTTGGAACAAATAGCCGATGCCTTCAAATTTCTTCACTAAAAATTTGGTCTTTGATCCCATAATCCCGAGAAAGCCAATGTAACGGATAATAATTTCCAGATCGGTGTCCCATTGGAGACGGCGAGGAGCACCTAGCAGATAAGTAACACTAAAAAAACTCAGAAATGGCCAAAATGTTAAGCCAAAACCGTGTCGCTGTGTTAGGACGTCCCACTCCATCACCATAACGTCAAACCAAATGCATACTTCCACAACGCCATTCCCACTCAATCCCGCTGTGTTGGCACCACTTCACTACCTCTCTGAGGCTCGCTTTCACACCCAGCAGCCAATGCCAAACATTCAGATCAAGTTTACCGTGCATCCTTTTCGACAATGGAAGTCTGTGCAAGGGCAACAGGTGACAAACCTTAATGGTCCCATTTGCTTAATCATGGAGAGGAAAGTCCGTATCTCACCCAGTTTTGTTGATGATGAAAACGCTATGAATCATGTTTCCCGTAAAATCACGCTAAAGGTCCACGAGGTCAAAAAACCGAGACCGCTGCCGATGCCTCCCCACCACGTGGACAGACGATGATGGCTGCCATTCAGTTTCACGGTTGCCAGATTGTCGCGTTGAGTGATTCCTTTTCTTTGCCAAAATTTCTCTTTTTAGGGTTCTGCCTAACCCCACACTTAATTTTTATTTTACGTTTCGGCCTTTCAAGCCGTAGCTTAGTCTGCAATGCTTCAGCTGGAATTCCTTGGCAGTGGGCACGACAATCCCCCGAAAAATGCCTCTTGTACGCACGTCGATCGACAGGTGGCACTGTCGCTCCAGAGTCGACTCACCTCTCGCTGTGTTCTTTCATTTTGATTTGAAGCGAAATCGACTGCATCAACACTTCTGGTCCTTGTGCTGACTCGAATCGTCAGAATCGAGATCGCTGGCAGTTTTCCAGAGAGAGGTGAGACTTTCGTATAAACCTCCACAGCCACATTCGCGACTCAGCCTGTCGAAAACGGACCACCCCTCGTACATTCTGAGCTCTTAAGTAAAGGAATCCAGCAGACGACGCCTAATGGGGCGGAGCGCCTTTCATATGGCGCTATGAATATTATATTGACGAGAGATTGCGGTCTCTCCGCTTTTATTTCTTAAGGCCCCATCGTACGCCATGGTTTTGCTTATCTATGAATGCTCCCATGTCGAGCTATGACCTCGTGTAATCGAGGTCTATGAGCGACTCATAGACTCACGTGTGAGTAGATTTCCAACTCACAAAGGTCTCGAGACATCCTTCGCTTTCTTATGACTCATAGCAAGTACTGATTGGTTGGTATGGTCAGTTAACATGGCGCTTCTTCCCATACGACTCAAATTCCCGCGATTTTGTGTTCCACGAGTGTCAGGATTTCCATGAAGGTGTCAATATTCATCCTCAGAAGAGCACGGAAACGATACTTACGTAATTCTCGGAAAATATTGGCTTCGAAACCCTTTCCTCGCCTCCTTGCCTGCCATTTTTGCCGCCACACACGTCAGTCCCGTTTTCGACATTGCTAACATGCTCTAACCCTTCTCGATAGAGTCCCAACCAGTATCAAAATTACTCCACTAATCAAAGTTTCACCCTGAAAACTCACAAAGTCTTTCTCACAGCGTCTAATAGCAAATAGCAAATTCACTCAAATGAGAGCAGTCATATATGAGCAAAATCATAGCGTGTGATGGCGCCTTTAGGCGTGTTACACTCTTAGAAAAGAGTGAGCGATTTCCGAGAAAGGAAGCGAAACTGGAGTTAGCGATTTTACTCCCTAAAAACGAAGACCTACAATCGATAACTACTTCTTTACATGAGCAGAATCCATAACTTTTTAAAGAGCGCGAAACGAAGGAGGGAGAATACGTATCAAACTAGTAGAAAAAGTTAGTGGTTATTCTCAGGAAAGAGAGAGGTGAGTGGCATTATTTCCTTGTTTTCAGGGAGCAAAATCGCTAACTCCAGTTTCGCTCCCTTTCTC